ACTTATGATTACTGTGTTATTATAAAGGACACACATAAGATGAGGTACAGGAGGGATGCAGGGCTTCTGTGCTCCCTCCACGAAGTTAGGAGACATACCACTCCTCCAGCATATTGATATGTTCACCAACCACAAAGCTCCACTGAGCTTTGGTGTCCAGGGTTTTATTGAAGTTTCATTATCTAGCATGATTGATTATATCACTGGCCATGTGATTGAATTCAATCTCCAGCCTGCTCCCCACTCCCCCAACCTCACTGCTCTCCAGAGGTAGGACTGTCTCAAAGTTTTAACCCTCTAATGTTGTAGTGGGATTTCTAGTGATCAGCCTGGTCCTAGAGGACAAAGAATCACCTCATTAGCATAGCAAAGACATCACTTAGGAAATCCCAAGGCCTTTCGGAAGTCTATGAATCCTAGACAAAAAGGAGACAAATTATCATAGTACAGCTGGAAAGATTGACTAGAAGTTCAGTAGTGAGTCATTAATATTTTGTATGACTGAGGAGCCTCCGCCAACCCTGGCTTCTGAGTCATCCCTCCTCACTCCAGCTACCTACCTCCATGTGAGCAAAACATTGTCATGTGAACAAAACAAGCCCCGATTTCTCTGAGCCCTTGTTAGTTGAATCTTCTGTTATACACGTTTGAACCCATTCCCAACTTATATGCGTTTTCTACAGGTCTAGAATCCTAAATACTTATTGAAGACTGATAATGTATAAAGCACTGGGTAAGGTGCACAAATAATTGTTAAATATAGTCACACCTTCCAGGAATGCACAACACTGGCAGGGGAAGAGATCAGGACACATGGGCACGTTGTATCCTTTTTGAAGTCAGAGTGGTTTGCATCCAGGCTCTCACTCACAAAATGAGAAAAATAATGCATTCCTTACTGTGGACTGATGTGTGGAAGGTGAGAGTTCATCTTTCTTTTCTTAATTTAATTTTTTAAAAATTAAATTTACTGGGGTGACATTGGTTAATAAGATTATGCAGATTTCAGGTGTACATTCTTATGATACATGATCTATATATTGCATTGTGTGCCCACAACCCAAGTCAAATAATCTTCTATCGCCACAAATTTGGTCTCCTTTACCTTCCCTCTGGTAACCATTGCACTGATGTCTGTGTCTATGAGTTTCAGCTGTTGTTGTTTTTTAATTTTTTCTTTATTGATTTTAGAGAAATAGGAAGGGAGAGGGAGAGAGAGATAGGAACATTGATGAGAGAGAACATTGATCAGCCACCTCCTGCATGCCCCTCACTGGGGATTTGACCCACAACCTGGGCATGTGCCCTGACTGGGAATCAAACCAGTGACCCCTTGATGCTTGGGTCAACACTTAACCACTGAGCCACATCAGCTGGGCAAGTTTCAGTTTTATATTCCACATATGAGTGAAATCATATGGTTCTTAGCTTTTTCTGACTGACATATTTCGCTTAGCATAATATTCTCAAGGTCCATATATGTTGTTGTAAATGTCAGTATTTCATTTTTCCTTAAGGCTGAATACTATTCCATTTGTCTTAGAAAATATTTTATGAATTTGACCCCAAAGGCAAAGGCAGTAAAGGCGAGAACAAATGAATGAGACTGTATCAAACTAAAAAGCTCTGCACAGCAAAAGAACCGGCTAACAAAACAAAAAGGCAAACCAACCAAAAGGCAAACAACAGCTCTGAAAAGGGGCCAATATCCAAAATATATAAAGAGTTCATATAATTCAACACCCAACAAACAAACAATCCAATTAAAAAATTAGCAGAGGACCTGAATAGACACTTCTCCCAAGACATACAAGTGGCCAACAGATATATGAAAAGATGTTCAATTTCATCTATTAGGGAAACACAAATCATCAAAACTACTATGAAATACCTCCTCATGCCTCTTGGAATGGTTGTTATCAATAAGACAGGTAATAATAACTGGTGGAGAGGTTGTAGAGAAAAAGGAACCCTCATTCACTGCTGGTGGGAATGTAAACTGATACAGCTTACATTCCTTAAAATATTAAGAATAGAGTTACCATATGACCCAGCAATCCCTCTTCTGGGTATCTACCCGAAAACTTGAAAACACTTATTTGCAATGATATATGCACCTCTGTGTTCATTGCAGCATTATTCACAGTGGCCAAGACAAGGCAACAACTGAAGTGTCCTTCGATGGATGCTTAGATAAAGAAGATGTGGCACGTATATCCAATGTATTTTTTAATTGCTTTTGTTAGAGAGAGAGAGAGAGCTAGAAACATCAATGTGAGAGAGAAACATTGATTGGCTGACTCCTGCACACCCCATACTAGGAATGGAGCTCAAAACTCAGGCATGTGCCCTGACCAGGAATCGAACCAAGGCCTCTCAGTCCATGGGCTGATGCTCAATCCCCTGAGCCACACTGGCCGGGCACAACGTATTTTTTGCCATCTTACTTTCAAGTTGTGTTAAGAGATAACCATAGTATACAAAAAGTCTCACCATCTAGTTCAAATTTTCCAGCTTCTCTTGACTGATCACCCATCTCATGTTTATCTGAACTTCATTCGACAAGTACAAACATATTTTGAGCTGGATGCTGGAACCATCCAGAGATAAAGATACAGCTCTCCTTGAAGACACTCAGAGATAGTGAGGTAATTATCACAACATGATGGGCATATCCATGGTAGAGTTTCCACAGCTCAGTTGGCAGACAAGTGAAGAAAGTGGGAGGTGAAAGTCAGACCAGATGCTGTACCACAAAGGCCTGAAGCTGGGAGGGTGAGGTAGGTTTTAACCTACCTGGTTTCCTAGCACGTGGAGACGGCCTACAGCAAAGACATGGGGCATTGAATGCCTCCTAGGCAATTCTCTGCAGTTTAAATATTTTAAGGATTTAAAAAATGAAGATGTCTAAATATGATCCAATCTATGTTTTAGAATATTCACTTGGAGGACTGTGGATATTGAATTGGGTTTAAGAAATGTGGAGGCAAAAAATTAACTCAGAAGGCTAATTGCTGTTGCCCTCATCACTGGTGAACACATCAGGGTCTGAACAAAGACAATGGCAGTGGAAACTGAGAAGAAAGAAAAGGGTAAGAGGTACACACCATTTATTACATTCCAGTCTTTTCTATGTACTGAACACAAATAAACAAAATAAAACAAAAACAACAGCAACAAACACTGCGTCACATTTTCCTCTATCTCATATGTATTTTATATTAATCCAGAAGTAGTTAGAACTAATATTTACTGTGCCTTCTGAATTTACTAATTATTGTCAAAGCATGTCCTTTTCTATCCTTTTCCTCTTCTTGAAACTATTTTCCCACATGTGCTGCAACAATGGTCTCTTAACATGTTCCCATGTCACTTTAGTGGTTCCTTCTGTCTCCTTCGTTAGTTTTTTCCAGGTTTAAAAAAAAAAAAAAAAGGGTTCATTTTCTTCTCCTGTGTTCTGTGCATGTGCTAGAGGTGTTGGGTTTTATTTGTTGCTTTCCGTTTTTGTCCTCTGCTGTTTATTCAATAGGATAGCTCAAGTTATTCACTCTTCACATTACAATTTTAATGATCATGATAGAATATAACTATCTCTTTCCTTGTCTTAATTTCTCAAATTTTTTTCAGGACCCATTTTTCAAAGCAACTTTGAGGACCTGCTTCATTGGCTTCCTGACAACATATATCTCTCTTACGCGGAGTCCCCAAACATGCCTTCCCTGCTGAGCCAATCTGCCTGTGTGTCCTGTAAGCAGCAAAAAAGTACACAAACATGACCTTCCCAGCTATTAGATTTCTTTGTTCATGAAAATAAATGTCAACAGGTATTAAGCTTACAAAAATAAAACTGAAGCCTGCCGGTACTAACATGAAAAAAGGAAAGGGAAAGAAAAAAGTGCCTGGGTCAGCAAAATAGCCCTGCCTGAGTGCATCTCAGCACACAGCTCCCACTCAAGTTCCTGGAGGACAGGGAACCTCTGTCCCACACTTAACTCCGAGCTCCGAAGCAAGTATGACTCAACGAGTAAGCATTCCATTGAACCAACAATTCAGCAGGCTGACAGCGACCTGGAAGTCCTGTGCAAGTAAAAGATGCCAGTTCTTGCAGAGCGCTCTCAAGATGACACTCAGTTGATACTGATCTGAAACAGAAGTATCAACAGGGCTCTTAAAGTACCAGCTTTGAAATGATAGATTCCAGGATTTCGGAGCAGAGCACAGTTCACTTATTTATCATGTCCAGAATCTGTACAAGTTTGTCAAAAACACAGCTAAGTAAAAAATAGTGGTGTTACTTAACTCAGCTGCCCCCATCCCCACCCCCGAAGGCCATGAGATAGGAATTCAGACAAAAACTTAAATTGGGACAAAAGATCAACATCCCTAAGTGTTGCTTTGTTTGTGCCTTTTTTTTTGGTCATGGTGCGGGTGGAGGGGTGGGTGATGTAAGGGAACGGAGGACCTGGGGGATGGAGGAAGAAACCAAGCTCCCAAGCCTTTTCCTCTGCCCTTCTTTTATGCAGGTGGTCTTTAGTGCACTGAAGGGAAATCTTTATTTTAATTTTATTTTTCAATTACAGTTTACATTCAATATTATTTTATATTAGTTTCAGATATACAGCATAGTGGTTAGATAATCATGTAGTTCACAAAGTGCCCTCCTCCTCTGTTTCCAGTACCCACCTGGCACCATACAGAGCTATTGCAATGTTATTGATGGAGGGAAATCTTTTTTCAGAAATAACCTTTCTGCTTTTCCTATGAGCTCACAGCCAGAAGTGGAGGGAGGGCTGTGACCTGGGTTCAGCTGAGAGTCAGGAAGGCAAAGATCGCACAGCTCGGTGCCTGGGAGCGCTCAGGGCAAGGTGACATAGTTCTGGTTGCCCCGGCGTTGGCCTGACAGTTTCATCCCCGCCCACTCGCAGGAGGGCGCCAGGCCGGGGTGCACGCGCGCGCCCGGGAACATAAAAGCGGCGGCGGCGCGGAGACGCCGGAGCAGCGGCCGCACCATGCACGTGAACGGCAAAGTGGCGCTGGTGACCGGCGCGGCGCAGGGCATCGGCCGAGCGGTGGCAGAGGCGCTGCTGCACAAGGGCGCCAAGGTAAGACCTGTGCGGGGCCGCAGAAACTTCTCGGTTCACCTAGAGACTCATCCCTCATCCCCGCCACTCCAAGAGGCTCCTGGGGAGATTGGGAGGCTGCGCTCCAAGTGCCCAACCTTGCCACTTCCAAAAGCCGCCGATGCTCGGGAGCAGACATCGAAAGCAGCGGGGAGAAGAACTGACCTTTAATTACCAAATGTCAGGTCCCAAAGAGGAGCGTTTTGTCTTTTTTTTTACTGTTTATTTACGTCTGGGTGTCTGTTTCAAGAGCTGCGCAGGACCTGGACTCTTATCCTCTATCCACAGGTAGCGCTGGTAGATTGGAATCATGAAGCAGGTATGAAGTGTAAAGCTGCTCTGGATGAGCAGTTTGAACCTCAGAAGACACTATTCATCCAGTGCGATGTGGCGGACCAGGAACAACTGAGAGGTAAGAGAGGGGATCCATCCATCAATGGGAACACGCCCCGAACAAGCAATAAACTGAAGGCAGCCCTGGCCCAGAGAGCCAGCTGGCGACAGGCAGCTGGGCCTCCTCCCAGAGAGCCCCTACCTCTAAGCTCCAAGAGATAGCTTGGAGTGTTGTCTTCTGACATCCCAATAGCCATTAAAACGAAGAGGGAGGGAGCCCAAGTCTGCCTGAGAACTCCTTTTATTTTAGTCATTTGGTAGTACATAATGTAATAAAAATTCATTTGTGTATTCAAAGACAGAGCTGCTAAAAGTAATTATTAAATGACTGAATCTGCAGAAGGAACTTGAAAAGTTAAACAGAGGCTAAGGAACTATGGCAAACTTCCACCAGAAAGCTGGAAGACGCAGAGTCCAATAACAATGAAATGTGGCTGTGTTTCTCTTTTAAAATGTACTAGAGTGCAAGGTCAAGGGTCATCATCACAGACAAGCTAGATGCTGTTAACCACATGTTCTTTTTGGTTTTTCCCCCTATGAGATGGTAGTTTAAAAATAATACTAGCTGTACTACAGTGTGAGAATGGCAGAAGAAAAGTTTCTATCAGACTTTCCTCAATGCTTTCCTGTTTCCGTCTACTCACTTAAAATAGAACAACCTACTTGTGAAATATCAGGGACAATATTGGCATATAAACAGAATTGGTCATATAGAGACCCAATAGATGTGTATAAAAAAATACATTTTGGGGGAGAAAAATAAATATTTGTATCTCACAAAGTTTTGCCGAAAGACTGAATAAATTATTGGGCACATCTTTTATCCAGGGAGCAAAAAGTTTGCATAAAAGTCAGTCTGCTCCTCCTGTTCTTAAAGGAACACCGAAGTGTGACTCTCTTTGAAAATGTTGGGCTATTCTGTAAGAGAGTGAAAATAGAACAGGATGTTAGAAGAGTGTTCCCCCACAGTTAAGGGAAATTCTTTTAAAGGGAGATATGTAATTAAAATCTGAAAATGCTAATAAAGATCTATAACATGGAGTCCAAGCATTAGTAGAAGAGATCTATAAACAGTGCTGGTGGAACACATTTTGCCAGAGGATAAAGTTTTGTTGATTGCGCATGATATTTTGGATTAAGAATAGAGGCATGTCAAATCTCAACATCCATGCAGATGGAATAAGCAACAGTATAGATCATCTGGAAGCTATTTCTGACTGAATTTATGTAGTTTCACATGTGACATTTAACCTTAATTGTTTTGCTTTTCTGTATTTAAAATTAGTACCTTAGCTGTAAACACATTCCTTAAGGATAAGTGATTGTGGAGGAGGAAACTCAGACACATAATGAGTGACCAGGAGAAGGCATGTGGTCATGAGAAATCCACATGTTGTCTGGACATCAGCGTTATTTGCACTTCAGAAAAACACGGCATTGACTCTTCCAATTTCAGGATTTAGTGCTGCCTACAGCTTTTGAAACGGTTTAGATATGTGGCTAAATCATAAAAATACAGGGGTGAAAATGTTCTTGGAGATGAACGAGACAGAACTCATTTTATAAATGAAGAAATGCAACACAGGGGGTGGGAATGGGTAGGTAAATTATAAAGAGTGCCACGGCATGTAGATGTCACCAAGAACTAGTTGTTTGAGCCCAAAATTCAGTGGTATGTTAGAAAGAAGATGGTACATCATACATTGGTAAGAGCAGAATATAAGAAATGCAGTGGAGACCAAAATGAGAAAAGAAAATTAAAGAAGCAATTAGACATACATATTTAATAGCCTAATTTCTGATCATGTGGATGTGGAGTTCTATTAGGATGGAATACAAAAAAAAAAAAAAAAAAAAACGAGAGAGAATATTTCTTAGATGTTTTCTACTAGAATCAATGTGAGATCTTAAGAAGCATTGAAAAAATTCCATGAAAAAGTAAACAGTTTTTATTTTGTTGTTTTTCATTCTAATATGGTAAAGGATACTGTAAATGGTGCATATTAAAAAATCTTGACACTGTTTTTGACAATTAATTTGTATAAGGATATATTTATTTTGGAACTGATTAATTCATATCCTCCTCAATATGTCTAATGGTTGCTAAAAATTCTATGATTTTACCTTTTTTTTTTTCTATGGCTGTACTTTATTCAAGGAACTCATATGTTGGTCCCAAGACCTGAGAACACACATTGTCATTTGGAAGAGCTACTGGAATTGTTATCGACAGTCTGAAGTAATAGAACTAGAACCAATTGTAGGCCCAGGGAAACAGTTTAAATCAATATAACTGTGTAAAAGTCAACTCTGAGAAATAATGTGTTTCTCAATACAAAGGTATTGAGACCTAGTATGAACTGGTTTAGTGGGTTTGTAAGAACTGGCTATGTAGTTGGATAATGGAATGAGTGACCTGCAGGCCTCAGAATCTATGCAAAGTTTATGTTGGCTGAACACAGTTTTTATACAAACTGGTAATACAAAGTAGTAATAACTGTGACAAAGAGAAAAGAAGGAAACAGTACACATTGAAGTTACAGTAATCAAGCAAAATCAACTGAATGAAAAGTTGATTTTACTCACTAGGATCTCAAAACTTTCCACAATTATGAGAATGGATTTGAGTACCCAAGAAGACATGTTTAATATTATAGTTTATGAAGATAATACAACTTATTATATTTGTATAGTCTACGCCACAGAGCTTCAATAACTTCTTAAGGACAGAGAGATGCTGGCTGCCCAACTGACTTTTGAGAGCTCTTAGCTTAGGAGGTTCAGTTCTCTAAAATTTATACCATTAAGTTACTGCTTAGCAAACTTTAATGTGCATACAGATAATCTATAAATCTCATTAAAGTTAAAATTCTGGATTCAGTAGGTCTGTGGTGGTCATAGATTCCACCTTTCTAAGAAGTTCCCAGGTGATATTGATTGATGCTGCTGGATCACAAATCATGCCCTGAGGAGCAAGGCATGAAGTCACTGCCTAGAGTATAATCTTCACGATCAGGGTGGATAAATAAAAATTCATTTCATGGCATAGGACATTACTTACATATATATGGAAAGTAAGAACTAATCTATAATGTCTCTTTTTTGATGTTAGATACTTTCAGGAAAGTTGTAGACCACTTTGGAAAACTGGACATTTTGGTCAATAACGCCGGAGTGAATAATGAGAAACACTGGGAAAAAACACTGCAGATTAACTTGGTAAGCTATCGGAGCCATGTTTCTTGACTAAAAGTATTTAGTGATGTGATGTTCTTCAAGGAAAATGGTTCTTATATTCATAGAAGCAACACAATGACTTGTGATATAGAAAAAGAGAAGTTACAGGAAGCCAGAAAAAAAAAAGCACTTCCTTTTACAAATAGAAAAAAATCAGAGATTTTTTAATCATGAAAATAAATCTGTCTTAAAATAATATGAGAAAATATGAAAAGGAACATAGTTTTTTGCATTACTTTGGAATTGGTGGACGGCGGCCCACTGGCCACACTAGCCACAATTTGTTTTTGTATGACTCACAAGCTGAAAATGGATTTTATATTGAAAATGATTAAAACAAGTGAAAAGAAATGTGAAAAGGATGACAGCTAGAGTCATTCATTTACACGTTGTCTCTGGCTACTTTTATGCCACAATAGCAGAGCTGAGTAATTGTAACACAGGCCCTGTGATACACCCATAAAACATTTATTATCCTGTCCTTTACAGAAAAAAAAAAAAAAAAAAAAATTCCCAACCCTGGTTTCATTTATTTATTTAAAAATAAATCTTAATATAATTCCAGTAATATAACAGAAAACAAGACCAAAGTTACTTTTTAACTTTGTAATTACTAAGATCTTTATCCTAGTGTGTATGTGTCTGTATGTACATGTGTATGTGTGTAATTTTCACAATGTTTGATGACTATTTAGCTCTTACTTAAGTTATAAAAATGTAATTTAGAAAGTAAAATTTCTGTTACATCCATTGTATCACATGTTTTTTGGTTACCCCATTTTATAAACACACTTGACATAAGATATTGGGGTTTAGTAAAACCCAAACCTCAGCTGAAGCAAAATGTCCCAGCTGAGCTGTGCGTGGGTTCACCCTGCCCTTGCTGAAGTTATTCTCACTTGAGAAGCGGGCATGGGTAAAGTACAGGGAGTGCCCCTACTTCACGCTATCCAACTAGGAGGTTATAAACTCCTTCAAAAAAGGAACTATGTTATGTTCTTTTTTATTCCTCTCTCAGTAATCAGCACAAATGCTTGGTCAATAAATGTTTGACTGGAATCAACATTCCCAGGAGTCATTAATTGTATTAATACCTGGATGGGTGTAATGACAATTACAATAATTCACAAAAGAGCTGAATCTATAAGCATCACTTTGATAAGGGCACAAAATTGCTCCCCAAATTTGATAGATGCCTAAACTCCTTTAAGTGGAAACAAAAGCTACCATTTGAAAGTACAGACACCCTCCTTATAGTTTTTTTGAAATTTGTTTCAAATGTTCCTGGATATCATTATATTTCAAAATAATCGTAAGACCTATTTATCAAATTTCCTTCAAAGTCTTTCTGGTGTATGTCAGCTAATCTGCCTGACTGTATTATAAACACGTAATAGTTGGACCATAAATTGGGGTGTGTGTGTGTGTGTGTGTGTGTGTGTGTGTGTATTTAGAGAAACCTGACAACTACTTTTCCTGAGTTAAGACAATTCTATGATTTTTCTTCTACTTTAAACTAGTAATGTAAGTAAAGTAAAATTATATTTTTATTTTCTCATTGTGAAAGAATTATCTTGGCTAGTTTTTACTATGATATTTCAATGTCTAATACATCATTAAGTTTGCTTAATTACACCCGATTTTATTTTATATTTGTGTGTCTCTGCTTATAAATGATTTTAGTTTATAATTTTATTTTCTTATAACATTTTTATTTGATTGAATGACACTTATTCCTTTGCTGACTTTATCTCCTTGATCTGCTAATTTTTGAATAGAATGCAATCATATCTCAAATGACAATCTAATCTGCCTGACTCTATATTATAAACATATAATATTTGGACCATAAATTGCCGGTGCTTGTAATTTATTGATTTTTTTATTTGATTTTTTTAAGTTGGATCTCCCTTTGCAACCTATGATGTTTTGATCCATTCTGTGTTTCCATGTTTTCATTTACTTAGACATACCTTTTTCTATTACATTATTTTGAAAATGTAAGTAAACTTTTATGTTAAATTTGTCTCTTGCTGATGGTATACTATGAGATCTTATTTTTTTAAATCACATTTGGAACATCTGTTTTTATATTTGTGAATTTAAGTCATTTATTTTTATTTTTATTTTTTCATAAGATTTATTTCTTCCACTTTATTTCATATTTTATATTTACTAACTTTTTGTTTTTGTTTTTGTTCTCTATTTCTTTCTTAAATTCCATTAGATAACTTTAATTTTCTTCTTCTGGTAAGAAAATTGTACATTTTATATTTAATCTCTGGTGGTTACACTGAATTATTATGAACCATATATCTTTATATCCTTTGGTTGTCAGATGAAACAAACAATATAAAGCCAATTGGGAGTTTTATGAATTTTTTGTTTGTTTGTTTGTTTGTTTGTTTTTTATCCTCACCCGAGGACATTTTTTGTTCAGGTAGAGTGGGAGGGAGAGAGAGGAAGAGAGAGAGAGAGAGAGAAACATCCATGTGAAAGGGAAACATCGAGTGGCTGCCACCCGCACGACCGACCAGGGCCGGGGACAAACTGCAACCAAGGTACATGCCTTTAGTGGGAACCAAACCCGGGTCTCTCAGGACCGCAGGCTGATGCTCTAACCGCTGAGCCAAACAGGCCAGGGCGGTTTTATGAATTTTTAAGAATATGTTTTAAAAACTTATGCTACTCTTCAAAACCACATAGTGACAAGAATTTGTTTTCTTTGCATCAAGCTATCCTAATATAAAAGCACAAATTTTGCCGCAGCAACTTTCTCCCTTTAGCATCACTCTTGATATTTATAATAGTTTCATCAGTAATACGTAGCTACAGATACTTTTTAAGTAAAGGTCACTAGAGCATAAAATTCCTATATTCAGGGTGTTCATAATGGACACCTACTGTGTCTTTCTTCTGAAAAATCAGATGTTAGAAAAGTGCAATGATCAGAGTTAAATATAAGAAACATAAAAATAGTGAAGAGATTGTCCCAAAGGATTCGAATTATCTGTCTTCATCTAGCTGAGAGGGCATATTTGCTTGAACATAGTTTAGGTGGGTAAACACCTGCTCCAAACTGGGAAGTTCTTGCAACATCTGAAAATAGAAAATTCTGGAAGACCAGGGGAATTTCATTTGACCCACTCTCCTGGATTGCTTCTAATGAGATTTAGCTGGCCTTTATTTTTCTTTGGACTCTTCTAATACAGGCCACTCCATAGCTTAACACCTGGGACTGATGACAATTGTTTAATTTTACACAGAACAAAATATAACCTTTGTTACCCATATATAACTAGAAAACATGTTACTTCACTTCCTACTTAAGACACCCATTGCAAGAGTAGATTGGAGTCTGACCAATCATTGACTTTCCAACTTGATTATCTCTGTTAGTGTAATGCAAATATTTGCTTTTGGTTTATATAATAATTTTTAGACACTGTTCTGAATATAATTTGCCTCCTTATACAATCCTATGTGTTCTTTGCACATTTTTTATATGTTCCTGTCCTTGTAAGAGAGTAACCATTTAGTTAAAGGACCTTACTGCATCTCTCCCTCTTCTGAAATCTCATATGACATATTCATACTACTCTTATGTGATGTACCAACTTTTAAATTTTATTAAATTATTATTTTTAGAATGACTTTCTTACATGCATATACTCTAAGCTCTTTCAAGGCAGAAAATTATTGTTTTGTGTACAGAGCAGATGTTCAGCTAATATTTATTGTCTAAATAAACTGCCATTCTATGATACTTTAAATCCATGGATATTCAATTTTGTGTTTTAATACTGTGTTTGGATTATTTCCTAATACATCAGTATTGCCAAATAGTATTAGCATCTGTCTTTCACTTTAACTTCTTACCAAACTTACCTCTTCCTTATTCTTCTGCCTCAACACTGTTCCCACACAAGAAACACACTAAACCTCTTCCCAGTCTTTTGTTTCCATTGGTTATTCTGTACTTCCTCCTTAGTCTGAAGCCACCGCATCAGCCTTACTAAGAGTGTTCAAAAAGAAGTCTTTGTATGTTTATCAAAGGTTACTGTAGCAATTGGGCAGAAGTAGAATTAGCTTTGAATATTGATAAGGACATTCTATAATGTACTTATTTTACATTCTGAAGTTTGGATAAACCTAAATAATTCACGCCCCACAGTGGGATTTATACTCTAATTTGGACATAACTAACAGATATTGAATCCCTTAGTATAGTCAAATAAAAATTAAACAAAATAGCCCTGGTGGGTTCGGCTCAGCGATTAGAGCATTGGCCTGCAGATTGAAGGGTCATGGGTTCGATTCCCAGTCAAAGTCACATACCTGTGTTGCAAGTTCAATCCCTGCCCATGATCAGGGTCATGAGGGAAGCAGCCAATCAATGTTTCTCCCTCCCTTTCACTCTATCTAAAAATTAATGGAAAAAATATCCTAAGGTGAGGATTAACAACAACAACAGAAACATTAAAATAGATGGCTTTTGTTGGTGATTTCTTTTTCAGAAATACAAGAGTTGACTAAAGATTTGAACTTGGCAAGGGTAGGCATTTAGAATTAGTCAAAACTAGATTTTAGTCCTGAATTTGGAATTCATGAACTTTTATTTCTCCGATCTTGAATTTCCCAGTTTGTGAAAAAATAAAGGTAACTTCTAAGGATGGGTAAGCTTAAATAAACCATAATTTGTATGAAACATCCAGCACAGTGCTACTACATAGTATTCACTCAATAAATTGCATTTTTCTCCAAAGCATAAAATTTATATTTTCTTCATTCTCACTAACTCATTTCTATGTGTGTTGGGTTCCTCTGTCCTCAAAATTAAAAGTTGAAGAAATGGATAGAAACATTGTTGTCAAACGTACTTACCCCTTTTCTTGGCTACTAAGACCTTCATTACAAATCAAATTAGTAACTACTTTCTGTATGTCTATTCTATAGTAACTAGAGATCCAGTTGAATGAACTATTATTACAGTTAGGCAGAACTTAAATTGTAAGTAATTTCTGCAAGGGGGGAAAACAATAATATTTACACCCTACACAAGCCAAAGTGGGAAAATGTTGAACATAAAAAAGGATTTCAGAAAGAGAAAGATCGTGTATATCACCATATTCCTTGAAAACTGATTGGAGAAAAGGCAAGAACCTGAAAGCTAAAGCATTAGACCTCGTCACGTAGACATATTCCAAGAAAGTTTTCATTTGAAAAGTTACTCAGTTCTTACCCTGATGATGGATGGAAAATTTATTCTTTGTTCTCCTCCTCCACCAGAGACCTGGGAATTAGTCTTGTTTTTGTTGTTTAATTTACAATAAAGCTCACACATTCCCAAAATTTCTATCTGGCTGCATCTTGTAGATGTTGAAAACACAAAAGTGGAGTGTCAGCACAGTAAATACCTGAGAATAAAAGCATAGTGCCAGCACGCGTAAACAGAAATTCTGTTCAGACATGCTGGAGACTAGGGCAGAAGCTAACAACATCTAACTACCTTCAGTAATTTTAGCCATCTACATTTCTCTTTCTTATATAAACTGTTCATGTTTTGTGTTTCCATTTGAAAGGGAACCATGCGGAGATTTTACTCATCCTCCTTAAGCTTACTTAATATCAAACTGACACGTGGCTTAAGTGAATAGAATCTTGAATTTACTCTTTTGTTCTAAACTCCTGTTAGGTAGAGAGGCAACTCTGAATGCTTTTCAAAAAAACTCCCAAGGGGCTTTTTAAATTAAAAGAAGGTAAACACTAATATGTACCCTCAGTTCCAAACTCATTGTCTATTGTACCATTTTCTTTGCAATATCATAAGGAATGAAAAAAAAGTAAGAATTAAGATGTCCAAAGAAAATTTTCAACTTTTAGAAGTCTGAATTGGAAGGGAGAGAGTTCTTAAATTAAAAGGGAAAATGGAGTTTCAATATAAGTTTCATATCACATGTTGTTTTGGGTAGTGGTGAATTGTTAAATATTAGAATAAAACAGAAAAGCTGCATACATATGATGAGTAGTGACGCAGAATAAACCATCAAAGGCACACTTGTAAGCCATGATGAACACAATGAAGTGACAGACATTACTGAAGATGGTCTGTCCCATGTAACAGAAAATCTGCCACTCGAACTGGCTCAAAGTTCTGTGACCTCACACAGCAGGATTGCAGTGTCAGGACTGTTTGATGTCGCATCTCAATGATATCATGAGGACCCAGTTTCTTAACTACTCTTCCACCTGCCATCCTTTATGCTAGCTTCGTAAGGATGCTAGCAATATTCATTCCAGCCATTGCATCCATACAGCGTAATGCAAAAAAAAAAAGGAAAGAAAAGAAATGTAGTAACTTCTTTCTGGTTTTCTAAAAAGTAACAAAATTTTTCTCATGAGTGTCTTCTTCCACCTCTCTTCCTCAGCCCAGACCCCCACCCCTCCCACCTCCCGCGGGCTACTCCTCAGGTCTTACTGGCCAGAAATGAGTTGCACTGCCAACTCCTGAATCAGTCACTGGCAAAGGGAGTGAGATTTCCATGACTGAATTAGATTAACCAGTGTCTAAAGCTGGTAGATTACTTTCCTCTGTATTATGTGGGAAAGAAGTAGATACAAATGCAAAAAAAGGTTTTATTAGGGAAAAAAGCAAATGAAAACTGTAAGAAATTAAGGGTATCTGCTATTATATACTGCAAGACCTAAGAGAATTAAACAGAGCAGGTGAAGAGAACCATATGCTTCTAATAAAGGGAAATGAATTTTGTATCTAATATTTAGAAAAGAAAAAGTATACAGAATTCTTCAAGATGTTGAGAATTGCGTTAAAGTTGACAAAACACCATAGGGTTACAATTTTTATCAAAAAATCTCAGATTGGTCAACTAAGTGAAATTTTGCAGAGATGTGATGAGCTCCACAACTTTAGGCAAACAAAAGAGATCCCAGGTCAATGACTTGATTAAAATAAAGAGCCATTTCAAAACCCTTTATTGAGAGCAGTTGCAGAAATCTAGCCAGGGGCCAGGGATAGCAATAAGAATAATGGTTTGTGATTATATGACAGAGTATAATGTCTCTGTTCCTTTTCCCATTCATGCCCCTGGATTAGGTTTCTGTTATCAGTGGAACCTATCTTGGTTTGGAGTACATGAGTAAGCAAAATGGAGGCGAAGGTGGCATCATTATCAATATGTCATCTTTGGCAGGTAAGGACACTTGTTTTGTTGATAATAATTTCTTATTGGTGATCTGAACCACAAAAGTAAATCTTCAAAAGTATATTTATTATCATCTTGGGTTTGAAGTGGAGACTTTGTGTGTTTTTTTGGGGGGAGGGGGGCAATGGCTCTATAGAATTGTCTACTGCATATCAAAAATTTGAACTATATGTTTATTTGTGTTATTTTAAATTGTGACTTCTTAAGTTATCTTACTGCAATATTATTAAAAAGCACACACACACACACATTTTTCCCAGAGTTACTATTTTTCAAAGGTTATTGTGAGGTTCCTGATCAGTAATATATGTGAAAATACCTTTGACAAAGTGAAAAGTACAAAATGGTCCTGGCCAGTTTGGCTCAGAAGTTTGAACACTGGCCTATGAGCCAAAGGATCTCAGGTTCGAGTCCAGTCAAGGGCACGTATTTCGGTTGCAGGTTCAATCCCCAGCCTCATTGGGGTTATGCGGGAGGCAACCAATCCATGTGTCTCTCTCACATCAATGTTTCTTTCTCTCCCTTCCTCCCTCTCTCCCACTCTGTCTAGCATTCAATGGAAAAATATCCTTTGGTGAGGATTAAAAAAAAAGTACAAAACAAAGTCAAGGTATCTCTACTCCCATGTGCCTTTAGTAAGAACATGGAGTTTTAAAATATGGCAGATGTACTGGTTGGCATGTGCTTTTGGGAAGCCAAACTCGACCTCTACTTTATCAGGATCTTTGGCTGGGCCTGAGAATCAAGCTGACATGAAATAGATTCACTGGAGAAAAGCATACCGATTTTTACACACACATGGGAACGTCCAGTGGAAAATGCAGACCCAAAGAAGTGGCTAGGCTTAAGTGTTTATAAACGAGGTTGAACAAAGAGAAGCAACTGTGAAAAAGTAACTACAATATGCAGGGAGGCTAAAAGAAGATAAGAGTTATTTTATTTTACCAAAGTTTGTTTGTACAGATTTCTCTTGGCCTTGATTCCTGGTCTCTGGTGATAAAAATGTTTCTTTCTTCCTGGTATACGTAGGGCATCTTTTTCATTAGTTTTTTTTTTTAACTCTTGCTTTAAGGAAGAAAGGGAAGGTCCAAGTGCCTTTCTTGCACCTGCTGTTTTACAAGTCTTTGTGCCTCAAAAAATAATCTGTATGCCAAAGTGGGGGTAGCCTCATCTGCCACCCTTCAATGCTAAACTGCTATCATAAATAGACCCAAGTATGTGATGGCTTAAACACAGGCTCCTCTTATTCCTCATTCATCTATCAGCCCAGGGTGAGCCTCTTGTTGCAGGCCACCTCTGTCATATGCAGTCATTTGGAAAACAAGGCTGGCAGAAGCTGTGTCTTCACCATGGAGCTCACAAGATGACTGTGGCATCGGTGGACTCCTTCCCTCCTGCAGAAAGAGAACACTGAGGAGGCATCATTGCCCTTTTGAAAACCCCACCCAGTAATGGCACACCTCACTTACACTCACATTCCAGTCTGGAATTTGATCTCATGGCTCATCTAACTACTGGAGAGTCTGGGAAATGCAGTCTAGCTATGTGCCTAAGGAAAAGTACATTCCAGTGCACAGTTCATCGTCTCTATCACAACGTGTAATCCAAACAGGCTTACTTAGGGCTGTATGATCTGCTATCAGCTGATACCACATTACCATTGGAGGTACTTAGCCAGACCTCTTACTTTTAAAATTCTAAGGGGGAAAAAAAATCAATGGTTGTTGAATAGTTCAAGGGGCATTATGAAGTTTTTGATGTCTGAGCAATAGTGACAGCAAGTCTAAACTATTCATGTTAAAAAATAGTGAGACTTTCTTAAATTATCTGGTTGGTTTCGGTTAGTGCAGTCATTTCATAATAGGTGCCCTCTGACCTTGTCCTCCACCTCCCAGCTCCAGTAATGTCTGAGCAGTCAGGTTTGGAGGTACCTGTGACCACACCAGTGTCTGATTCTCAACATTTTTCTTATTCCTCTGGGAATTATTGTCAGATGGTCCTTAAACCAACAAAACCTGCCACCAGTGGAGACTTGGAAATCTTCTTTAGAAGTTCTCGGAAAAAAAGACTCGTTTTCTGGGTTGCTTAAGGACAAAATTACATCCCTAAAGTTATCACAGGCCTAATTCTATAATTTGTTCAGGATAATCTGGTTATTATTCCTAATATGACACCTACTAACATTTCCATCCTAAGTATACATTAAGAGATAAGAGGTAACATATTTGGCCTCAGAAAGGACCAAATTTTAGATTCTGGGAGGCCAAAACCTTAATGGTAAATTGTCAAGGCAAAATCCACATGATTTTAAAATAAAACCATAAGAAAGAAATGTATAAATGATTAGAAAATTAACAAAAAATATTTAATGTTTTATTTAAAATATAAATGTGAAAACATCTCGGGTGGTGGTCAAGGGACAATTGCATGGACCTCTCTCTAAAGCTAAGAGGGCTAGCAAAGCTTGCACCATAAGCCCTATTTGGGAAGCCCCTTGCCCTGTATCTCTGGAGACAGTGATTTCTTCTTGGGAAGCATGGAAGGCCTCGGGGTTGGATCAATTTAGGACTCGCTGGAGGATGTTCTTTATCATAAGAGGAGGTTTACTTGCCCTAAGGATCATAAATAGTACTGCCTTTTATCCAATAAGAATACTTAAACATATAATAATCAGCATTCATTGAGCACTCACTGTTTACATGCTACTCGTTTAAACATTATGTATGAGGTTATCTCATTTAACACTCGCAATGAGCCCGTGAAACGGATTTTATAATCTCCATTTTGTAGATGAGGAAACCATGGCAGGAGAGTTCTGGTTTCTTCCAATAGCCTTTACTTCAAGGAAGTAGTCGAGCTGGAATTCAAGCCTGATAAAAGACGTCTTGTGTCTTAACCACTGGATTGTCTAACTCTCCCATCTATGAGTGTGACTGCTAATCTCTCTAGCCATATCCATCTTTGCCTGTGAAGTAAAAACAGAATTCTTACAACATAACTAAGCCAGTGTAATTTTCTAGGATCTTCAGGCCCCTGCACCGCTTTGATCTTTTGTCATTTTTTTAAAATATTTTTTTCTTTATTGATTTTAGAAAGAGGAGAGGAGAGATATTAATATTTTGCTGAGATATAATAATTAACAAGAAAAATACCTTAGCTTTCTTCATGTTTATGGCTCTTGTGGAACAAATAAAAATAAAAGTGAAAATAATGTTAATATATAATGAGTTAATATAATTGATAATTAGACCTCTATATTCTCAATTAGATGGGCAAAAACATAAACCTACAATTCACAGAACAGATAGAACAAATGGCTAGTAAACAGGAATAAACGGTCAACCTCATGAGTAATCAGGGTGATGCAAATGCAAACAGAAGAGAAATGTAATGTTTTAGCGCTCAGATCAAGGCAGAGTTAGTATAAGTAGTCCCGATTGGCCAGAATGTGGTGAGAAGGGGTTGTCAGATACTGTCAGTATACGCAAGCCAATGCTTTCATCTTAAAATTACATTTCTACACCTTCAGTGAAATCTTAAACTTTTGCCCCATTGGACACACAGAGTAAAGGCCTGAAAATATTTGGGGAGCTCACTGAAGTCAAAACATGCCACTGAGAAGTGGCATTACAATTAGAGGCCCAATTTGCTTTCTTGGCTAAGAGCTTGGTTTATCACACTACCCACCCCTGGGTGTTAACTCACTTCTTACCTATCTCAGAGCCAATATTTGGAACCAAGTGTGGACGTCTCTCTAGTCATGCAGATAGAACAACGGATGGATATAAATAGAATGATAAGCTTGTTCTGGTTTTAAATGACCGTTCTAGCAGTCTTACAGTTAATGAACTGCTTCTCTGATATGCTTCCTGACACGCAGGGTGACTCTGTTTGTAATGGTTAAATAGCTTATATCTTTGTCCCTTCTACTTGATTCAGTACATTCATCAGTATGAAGAAAAGCACCCTCCCTTCTTAATGCTCGGCCTCCACACTGGTGCACTCACACTGTTTCCTGTTGCCAGTGCCCAACCTGGACAGCCTCTGCTTTACCTCTCCGCCCACCCAGGGCTTTGTCACGAAGGTGCCCTCATCTCAGAAAGAATATAAAAATGTACTGCCTTGTGTTTTATCCACTCACCAAGGGCTTCTCTTCTTTCCATAATGAAATAGATTCGTTTGACAAAAATTCAGAATTTTGTAATAGTAGGAGATAAATGAGGACCTCTCAGAAATGTTATCAACAACTTTACACCCTTGAAGTCATAGCATGTTGGTAGAGGTCAGATGATCAAAATAGTCTTTGAGGAATGCTAGAGTCAAATTATGTTTCACCCAGCTTTACTGAGGTCTAATTAACAAAATTTTAGGGAAAGTATTTCTAATGTTTGCTCCCTTTGATTTTCCAAACTTTCCTTCCTCACAGATTTGTCCTGTGATCCCCCGGTGCCCCGTCACTGTTTACACTATTAAGGCAGGGCTGTGGGTTATATTCAGCTCAACCAGTCTGTCATGATCTCTTGCATAGATTTCGTGGAGTCCTTCACTGTCATAGTAAAAACCTTGACACACTGGTTTGGGCAGAGATGTTAATGAGTAATGACCACTGACGCAGACCGCATATCAAATGCAATTAATAAGTTTAACAAACATAGGAGTAGTTAGAGTGGAGAGTGATTCCTCAGCATATTGAGGGAAGGGTGTGCTCCAGTCTGGAGGCCCAGAAGTTCTTCTGATCTTTGTTAACCACATAGACATTTCTATATTAGTTTTTATTTGTAAACACAATATATAAACCTGCACTGATTTCATCACATTCATTCTAGTAAAAGAAGTTGGAAGGAACAACAGAGAAGAGTGGAGCCTGGTTTAATGCAGATAATTAAATGCCTGTGTTCCCATAAAACATCCCATAAAAGTCAGGTGTGTTTTTTTATATATTTAGTTGCTCAAAATGGTGAGGAGGGCAAAGTAGTTGTCACAGGGAA